ATGATGAAAGTTCTATGGGAAACATCTTTCGGTCTAAGCTCAATACAAGGTCTCTGAAATAAAAAAAAGGTGAAAGAAAATTCAGAGATTTGATCTGCTATATTGATAGTGATTGGGCAAGATCAATGGATGACATGAAGCCTCAGGTTATGCCTTCTCTCAAAGATCTGGTATATTTTCTTAGGCATCAAAGAAGCAAGACACAGTAGTACAGTCATTAGTAAAAGCTGAGTACGTACATAGCAGCGACAGCAACAGCAAGTCAAGCCATGTGGCTAAGAAGAATATTTTAAGAAATGGGTGAGCGGCAAAACGAACAAACAATGATCTATTGTGATAACAAGTCTACTATAGAAATGGCAAAAGATCCAGTATACCACAGCAGAACAAAACACATTGCAATCAAGTACTACTTTCTACAAGAAATAACTAGTAAAGGAGAAATTGAGCTTAAGCACTACAATACTAAAGAACAATTAACAGACATTTTCGCAAAGGCATTGTCACATTTAAAAGTTTGAGTTATTACGTGACCAACTAGGAGTTACAAGAAAGTGTGTTAAGGAGGAGTATTGATATTTGATGCGTTTTCTAGAAGTTCCTAGAATTAATTAGCTGATGTGACTCTAGATACTCATATTATCTCTAGGTTTCTAGTAATGCTAAGAGAAAAGGTCTACAATGTTGTTTGGCTTTGAAGCACCGACTTAGCTCTAGTATAAATAGGTGAAGCCATGTTCATTAACTTTAGCACAAGTCAATACACGTTCCTATTTTCCCAACGTCTTTAGCCCTTACCATTTTCTACCACTCTACCTTGCCTATTTTACTCTCTCTAATACCACTATCCTTCTATAAACTAACGCACAAGCTAACACACATCTCAAGCCCCAACTGTTCTACCCACCTCAATAAACTAATAGAGTTGAAGGGCACTTCATCTATCATAAGTTTCAACGCCGATGATGTGGTTATATTGTACCATTGTTCCTAATGGATAAATAGGGCTACAAATAGATAGAATCAAATTAGATTAGAGATATTATTCGATTTTTTTGGTAATAACCTACATATCTGAGTTTGATATATAATTATTGTTGAATTGTCAAACAAAGATTTAAAAATGATTTATGTGTAAATGCATGGGAGTGCAAATGGACTGATTACACTGTCCTTTTCTACTATAAACTAGAATGTTCATATTTTTTTGATAGGAAACGTATGTAGGTATATTATATTCACATATTTAGATACATATTTATTAAGGTTTAAGTTATATTTGAGGAGAAATGAGTATATTTTTATTAAGTTTAAGTTATATGGGCTATATACGTGTTCAAGTTATTAAAGGTGCTAAACCTAAGTTGGGTTTTATTAATTTGGTTTGGGAATAGTTTTGTCAATAAGGGGAGTTTGGGTCAAGGTATAGACTTGGGCTTGACTTAACAAGTGTTGGATTTTAATCTCATAAGAGATTAAATTTAATGGGGTTTGATTGATCAATTATATAAAAAATACATCTGCACACATATCTTGAAAAATAGTTTTTTCTCTTACTAAAACTAGTTTTAACTTGTTCCACATTGGAAAATTATAAAACTTGTTTTGAGTTTTTAAATAGTAACTAATTTACATTCCTTAAAAATATAGAGGAGAGTATGGAGGCTTGCTATCGCACAACGCATGTGCATGTGTTTACGATGCAATGAGGTGCTTTAGAGGCGCACTTTGCTTGTACTTCACATGGCTCGCGGATGGTGGTTTTGACTTTTGGTACAATGTTGATTGTTGATGTTTCAACGGATTCGACCAGGAGTGATCAAGAGGCACTATTCAAAGTTAACAGTCATTAACTCTTAATTACCTTTTTAATAGTCACAAAAATTGTGATTGTTTAAGGAGCTTTTCATAAACCAGCACCTTACTCTCCTTCATGACTCTTCAGAAATTATTTAAGAAGCATGAATCAAACAAATGTACACACAAGTTTCGAAAATCACTTTTGCCTCTCTCAGTTTAACCTTCTACTGTCTCACAAAACATGTTTAAGTAGCCTCCAAGTAAGGTTAGTAAGTGTAATTTCTAAGTTAAAATAGTGCACGTGTGTGATACAATGTGAATGTTTGTATCTTTGTATGCTTTGCATTAGTAATATGTATAGCTATTTCTAGTTATAGTGTGTTTGCTTCTCTTTGCTTTTTTTGTGTGGTCCTGGTTGTTTGTTGGGTTTCTACATTTGGTATCAGGCAGGATTATCAAAGTTGTCATTCTGTCGGGTTGACGTTTGAGTAACGAAGATCTAGTCATTACTTTGTCGGGTTAGAATCGTCCATTGTGAGCAGCGTGACACTGTGAAGCTGATTAGTCTGGGATTAAGCTTCTTGGTGAAAGGCAGCAGAGAAGGATTTCACTAATCATAATGGCGGGTTTAACCAGCATACTTGCAGGAATGGAGAAGCTAAATCACTATTACTATGATAGTTGGCGCAAGTGCATGGAGTCATATTTACAAGGCAAAGATTTATTGGAAGTAACAATCGGAGGTAAAACTATTGCTCCCATTGACAAAAATGATAAAAAGAAGTGGAAAATCATGGCAGGTAAGGATCTTTATGCTATTAAAATTACTGTTGAGAAGGAATTTTTAGAGCAAAGGCCCAGATTCCAAGTGAAGCTTGGGATATTTTATCTAAATTATTTTCCAAAACAAATGAAGCTCGGCTTCAGATGTTGGAAAATGATCTTGCATTGATTAGTCAAGAATCGATGACAATCAACCAGTAATTTACAAAGGTAAAGAGCCTTTGTGGTGAAATCTCTTTATTAGATAAAGAGTCTACAATCAATGAAACCCAAGTGAGAACGAATAATTATACGAGGGTCGAGACCCGAGTATAATGGGTTTATGACAACTATTAGTGGCTGGTCAACACAACCATTGCTTGTTGAATTAGAAAATATGTTGACCAACCAAGAGACACTAAATAAGCTGATGGCTAGTGTCTCAATCAAAGAAACAGAAGAAGCACTTCTCACTCGGAAGAAGGGACCAAGCAGAAGGCCTAAGCCGCAGAAGCCTACTAAGTTTTATCAGCAGAAGGAAAGTTATCAACAAAGGGGAACTTCTCAGCAGTACAAGAGTAATCGACGCAATGTAATATGTTACAATTGTTCCGAGAAGGGTCATTATGCATGTGAATGCTGGTACAACAAAAGAAAGCCAGCTAAAGGAAATACAACAACGTCAACCAGTCAGCAAGGAGAAAAAGGAAGTGGAGAAGAATGTGAAGCCAAAGCCTCTTATTGTATTATAGATCCAAATGAGCATGGCTGCTCTATTGAAGATTATTCAAAGGTATCGACACCAAATCCTGGAGGAGTTGACTATAGCCAAGACTGGATCGTTGATTCTGGATGCTCAAATCATATGGCAGGAGATAAACAGAAATTTTAATCTATGTTAGAATATTAAGGCAAGTGAGTTGTTGTTACAACTAACAATACAACTCTTAACTACCGCAACAGAACGAAATAGCTGAGAGAAAGAACAAGCATTTAGCTAAAGTATGTAGAAGCATGTTACATAGTAAAAATGTGCCAGGATGATTTGGGCAGAAGGCATGAAGATTGCAACACATGTTCTCAATCGACTACCACAAGCATCACTTGGCTTTCTCTCACCATACAAAAAGTTATGGAATTGTTAACCCACAGTAAGTTACTTTCGTGTATTTGGTTGCGTATGTTATGTATTTGTGCCAAACCATCTACGCAGCAAATTCGATAAGAAAGCTATTCGGTGTATATTCCTCGGCTATGATAGAGAAAGAAAGGGATGTAGGTGCTATGATCCGAATACCAATTGTTGCTATATATCTCAAAATGTGGTATTCGATGAAGCTTCATCTTGGTGGTCACCTGAGAAAGTGGTACTACCCAACTCTGAAGTCATGGAGGAAATAAAATGTACAAGAAAAGTTAATTGAAAAAGATTCAAAACCTTAGTAGAACTTGCCAGATTCACAAAAATCTCCAAAACCATGGAATACTGGTGTTCTTGAGCAAAAGGCAGTTGGAGATATTAGTCCAAGTCAGATGGAGGAACTAGAGGAACAACCAAGACAAGAATTACAAAGGTCAACTAGGATTAGACCCCCTAACCCTAAGTATACAGATGACACACTCGCTAAAGAAGTTAGCAACTTAGAACCAACCAGTTATGAAGATGCCTGTCAAAGTGAAAGATGGCAAAAGACAAGAAAAGAGATTCAAGGCGTAAAGCAAAATGAAGACTTTGGATGATTAGCAAGAGGGAAGTCATTGCTGAAGGGGAGAAATGAGAAGTCAGCAACCAACTTAACTTTTGGTTAAAAAGGACCCACGTGGTCCTTGTAAAAACCATAAAAAATAAGAATCGCCTCTAATGGGCGGTAAGCTTAGGGGTTCACCCCCTACAACTATGTAGTAATCCCAAGTTAAATAGTAAGGGTGTGGTCTTGTGGTGAGTAGCCTCCAAGTAAGGTTAAGTAAGTGTAATTTCTAAGTTAAAATAGTGCACGTGTGTGATACATTGTGAATATTTGTATCTTTGTATGCTTTGCATTAGTAATATGCATAGCTATTTCTAGTTATAGTGTGTTTGTTTCTCTTTGCTTTTCTTGTGTGGCCCCGCTTGTTTGTTGGGTTTCTACATTCCATTGTTAAATGATTTGTCTTAAATCATTTATTACTATTTCATTTTTTTTAATGTCATATCCATTGTTAAATGATTGGCCTTAAATCATTTATTACTATTTCTACCCATGTACTTGTACTTTCTGGTCTTACCCCTTAGTCATTCTCACCCCTTCAACTCACAACAAATCACTTCTTATCAATACTGTTGAATGCATAATCATACCATCTTACTCTACATGCTCTTTTCTTTATTTCAAAGATAATAAAGAAAATTCAGAATGGTAGTTTTAATGGAATTATAGGGTCGAATATACTGCATTACCATGTAATAAGGTTCAGTACTTTGGATCAGAACGTCAGACGCGCGATTCATCCCAGCTGCTGCTCCTAATGCTAGAAAAAAAAAAAAAAAAAAAAGCGAAGTAAGGATACACTTCAAAGGTAAACTAAAATCAAGCCAAAAGTAAACTAATATCATTCATTTCTGTGTATGTGAATGCAATGATACATAATTAAGAGAAAGACATAATATCAGCGCATACCACCACTCGAGCACAATGAAAAGTATGCTGGCGAAGGATACAGAAAATGCGATCCTTGGAAGTAGGCAGAGAAATTTTGTCCATGGATTTTCATGGTTGGAAAATAAGCATATTAATGGGTGAAGAAACAGCGAGATAACCTGGGAAGAAATTGCAACACGAAACAGGATCGGTGCATGTTTGCTTTTGTCAGGGTGGAACAAGAGGGATTTAGAGGGATCCATTATCGATGTCAGGTATACAGGTAGAAGAGCGAGCTCCACCATAAGCATCATTGTATCAAAAGAAACTTTTGCGCGTTCTGTAAGATTCAGAGGAGTACCAAGTGCAGCAGTAGTAGGAATGGAAGAAGAATTCAATGGAGTTGAAGTTCCAGTGGGATCAGAACTTGTAGAATTCTGGGTGGTGCCATCTATAGCCGTAACAGTAGTAATAGAAGTAGGAATGGAAGAAGAGTTAAATGGAGTTGAAAAAGCACTTTGGGTTAAGTGTTGAGGTTCAGGGAAAATGGAAGTTGAAGTTCTAATGGGATCAGAATCCCCTATAACATTATCAATGTCAATGGGAACTTCAGGACTTGTAGGATTCAGGGTGGTGCTATGTGTAGCAGTAACAGTAGTAGTAGTAGTAGTGCCATGTTCAGGTTCAGGGGAAATGGAAGCCGAAGTTTCCATGGGATAAGAATCCGGTGGAACTTCGTCTGGTTGTGTTGTGAGACGGGATGAAGACGATGGCGGCAGCATTTTTACACCGATTGGGATGGGGGCGAGAGCAAAGAAGAGAAGTAATACAGTCGTCGAACAAGTGAAAACCAAATGGTAACGACAGAATTTCAGTCCGGATCTAAAGCATCGCAATTCCTGAAAAAATTCTCATGGGTGTTCAGGGACGAAGGAATGTAAGAGATGGGTACGTCCGTACGTGGTTTCCACGAACTTTCGTTGCTTCTTTATTCGACATATGAGAAATTGTCTAAAATCTCACATGAGTTTTAGCATTTCTAAACAAACTCTAAACTTACCACAACTTAAGGTGAGCATTTAGACATGAAAAACAAGAAAAAGTTCAAAAAAATATTTCAAATATAAAAATTATTAAATTGAATAAAATAAATAAATGAATAACTAAAAGTTTATTCGGATGGGACTAGTATAGACTATCTCAAACCAGACCGGACTTGTCCATAGCCCTAAATATTGGTTTCAAGGGAAGAGAATAATTTATTATTAATTATTTCTAAATAAATAAATGTTTATTAAAATCTCTCTCTCAATGTCAAATCTCCTTTCTTTTATTAATTTATTTTATTAAAATAAATACATTATTTAATTTTATTAAATAAATAAATATTTAGATAATAATAATAAAATAAATAAATAAATGAATAAATAAAAGTTGAGATAGAGAATAGGAGGAGAGAAAGAATAAGGCAAAAGAGAAGAATGATGGCATTTTATTTATAAGATGGCATAATTGTAAATAATTATACATGGCATGCCTACAATTTTTGAATGTCATACAATTACATAAGGAGGTTTGTCTTTTATGTGATACTCCTATAACTTTTAAATATCATAGGGCTAGGGGCAATTACATGGTGAAGCAAGGATGGTACATTTGTCTTATATGTAGCATTTTAATAATTTTCAAATATTAAAGAGTCAACTATATAGAGAGATTTGTCTTGTATGTGGCATTCTTATAATTTTTTAGTAGTATAGAATATGGTTCAAAGTATCGATACGATACGCCCAATACGGGGTGTATCGTATCGTATCTTTTGAAAAAGATATGGTCCAAAACGCTTGTTTCCAGGTGTTCTGGACCCCCAATTTCTTTTTTATAATAAAAACATGCTAAAAGCTTCCCAAAAACCAAAATTTGAAAAAATAATAGAGTTTCAGCCGTTTCTAAGTACCGATACAATATGACCGAAACTCGTATCATATTGATACTTTGAACCTTGGTATAGAATAATGAGAGGTGGGAGAGAAGAGAGAGTAAAAGAGAAAAGTCCCTTCTTGTATGTCTTTCTATTGGAGTTGGAATCTTCTGCCAACAAAACATGTTTCAACCCTCTACCTCTACCCATCATAGAAGTGGGACCATGTCATGTATGACATGTGCAATGTGAGACCCACCATGTATGATCCGGACTCTTTCTGTCCTTATTTTGCTTATTTTGGTCTGAACTACTGGGTTGATTTGGCAGATGGAATTCACTATCCTACCAGAAAAAGTTAGTCACTAGATCGCAAACTATGTCCAATGGGCTCCCCACAGAGCCCACCTCATATGAATCCGGATGTGCTCCTCACTCCTTATACCAAATTGACGATACATCCCACCTTACAATGGGAGAGATTGAATTGGCTGGAGATAAAATCATGTACACAGGGTTGGACTATGATTTTGTCATGAATGAATATTGGCATGCTTACTATGGGCCCATCTGTATTGAATATTGGTGTGTTCAGTCGTAAAAGGTGACCTATCCTAATGTACACGATTTTGTCTTCAATTTATTTGTTTTTACATTGAAAACATTTTCCATGAATAAAAAGCATAAAAGTATGGAAGGTATTGTCAATGTGCAACTGCTGTGAGGAGAACATCAGGACTCGCTCCATGCACCCTACAGCACATCCCCATTCTATATCTTTACTACCTATAAACAATATTTGGTTCGAAGGAAAAGGCAGAGAAAGAAACCAAACACAGCCATAATGTACCCAATTGGTGTATTCCCTTTCAAAGGCCACCTGTCCACTTATACTTTTCAAGTTTGTATTTATTGTTCATGGTAAATAGAACTAAAATGGAGACATCTCCTTTAACTATGTAAATTAATTAAAACAAAAAAAAAAGAAAACTTAGGATCCATTTAGTTCAAAATTAATATTAGAATTGGAATCAAAATCGGAATTCCTTGGAATCAGAATTGAAATACCTTATCCCCAAGACCTGATTGATTTAAACAAGAAACGAAGTCAGATTCCAATTTATTATTATTATTATTATTTTAATATTTAATAATTATTGTCTTAGTATTTTATTATTAATTTATTAATATATTCTTTTTTGTTATTATTTTAATAATGTTCTATTATTTTACTGATACTTTATTAATATTGGGATACGGGGTTTTTTATCCATAGATATTTACTTTTTGAGAAACTTTGGGAATCCCATTCCGGGGGGCTTGAAATGGCGATTCCCCCATATGAGAGAATCTCATTTCACCAATAATGTGAATTGGAATTCTGTTCCAACCAAACAAATGATTGGAATTGAAAAATCTGATTCTGATTCTAATTTTAAGCATCTATTCCAACAAATCAAACAGACCCTTAATCCAAAAGAACTTTACCGCTTCATCTCCTTTTTCCCCATTTTTACTATATGCATCTATTCCAACAAATCAAACCCTCCTCTTCTTCCCTCCCTCCCGCTATATGCATTAGATGCTGATTTTCGTATGGATTTAGACTTTAGCCAAGGGGGCAAGGGAGCATAGATAGAATAAATTAGTTTAGATGTTTGATTGTAGGGAAAATTAAAAGTTGAAGGTTACAGTTTGTCAGTCGTCACCTTGTATAAATTCAAAGGCCAACTGCAGTGCACTAAGGGGCGTGTCCCCCTCTACAAAATATCTGTTCATTAGGTGTGCAAACTTCATGGATTGATCAACGACCCAGCAGCATTGCATTAATCTTGGGAGTATAAATAGCTGAAAATTGATATTGATTTCAAAAGTACAGGTTTCTGTGGCAACTGCGGTGACCAGAGAAGACAACAGTACCATGAAAGGTTTAGTTGAGATTGCTGAGTGGAGAGAAAGAAAGGATGAAGGGGGTTTAACGTGGGAAAAGAAAAAAAATTCAGGGAATGGAGAGGAATGGTTAAACGGAGATCTTTCATCTGGTTCAATTTTGGGGTATTTTATAGTATAGGTGAAAAATTGGGTAGTGTATTTTTATCCACATCAAACCTGTGGTGAAAACACACCACCCCAACAAGGTAGTTATTCTGCACCATGGACAAAGATGTGTGGATTGAACCACACCACTCCATAGGTATTTTACAAGGTTTGTTGCATTTCAGTCCACACCTGTGTTATGATTTCATGCATCTCATCTTTAAGGTGGTGTGTTTTTATTAATTATAATTTAATAAAATATTAATAATTAATTTATAGTTAGATATAAAATAATAAATATATTACTAATTACTTAATTTATTAATTAATAATTATTAGTATGGTTGATTTTCCCTTTTTCAACCAAGCAGTGGAACATGAAAATTTTCCAGCCATTCTCCCTTTCTCATCCCATCCAATCTCATCTTTTCCTATCCCACCAAACTTTTTCCTTGAACCAAATGTAGAGAAGATTTCTTTATTTTTTGTTGTCATTGCCCACTGAGAAATTTTCTCATAAGCAAAGAGATAATAAAGGGTTTTTTATTTTTTGAAGCATTAAGAAAAGCATGAACTAACCCTTCCTCGTTATCTTGCTAGCCAAATAGACATGGCAATCGAGTAGTTGGTTCAGGTTTGAGGTGGATCAAAGCATTTTTGAGGGGACATTTCGGGTCGAGTTGGCTTTCAGGTTGAATCACCAAAGCTAGACTCTAACCATAAATATTTATGGGGCTGTTTGGTATTGTTGCCATTTCCTGGAGCAACGACACCACATCAGTGCCACATCAGAAAAAATGGTGTTTCAGGAAATGGGCATTTATTTGAAACATTTTTTCATAAAAAACAGTGCTATAAGCCATGCATCGAAAATCGGGAAGCCATGACATGGAGCAATGTCAAATTTGGTGTTTCCTGGAGCTGCAGCTCGTTACTGCCAATAGGGCAGTGATGTGGCACTGGATAATGGATACCAATCTGAAAACGTTTCTTGGAGCAATGATACCAAACCAAAAAAAGTTGTTGCTCCAGGAAACATCCTACCTGGCAACAACAATTCCAAACAAAAATAAAAACAGAAAAAACAGTGCTCCAAATCACACATCATGCTACAACATGATGCCAAACATATACTATGCTAGATTATACCCATGAGATCAGATGGGTGAATGATTCAACCACTTGAATCGGTTATTTTTGGCCAAAGTCAAATATCTTTACCAAACATATGGGTTTAATCATCCAGTTCAAATTGTTTTAACAGATCAACCATTGGAGTCAAACACTAATTTGAAACGTTGGTTTGAAAATAGGTTACACATGACCCGACCCAACCCAAATTTCTTTTGAGTTAGGCCGCTATCTAGTTCGATCAGGTTGCTGGATAGGAAACCCTAACACGCTTTTTTAAAATCATGTTGGATCAGGCTCACAGGTTGGATCGGCTTTTTGCTGTAGCCCAAGTTGTCTTAGGGGTGAATGGATTGGTGATCCACGGTCCTTTTATTTTCTTCGATTTTGATCTATATCCTCGCAAGAGTTTGGTAAACTCTGTGATGATTAATGAAGCTTAGTTCTTCTTATGATTTATAAAAAATATAGAAAAAAAAAGAAAAAAACTTAATAACCAATAAACCCACATCATTAAAGGGGTACATTTTACCTTTCATACAATACCGTTATCTCCTACCAACAAAAATACCTTACATGTTCTAAATAGGACATGGATCCGATCTCATATCGATGTCACAGTATATCCCACCATGTATTGGGAGAATTTCCCCATCTATTATCTGTATATTAAAGGAAAGTAATCAGGCTTAAGTCTTTCTTATTCAGACATGTGGCGCTCTATTTTTTTATAAAACAATATTTTAGAAATGGTTAGTTATATTTTTAAATGAAATTCAAAATTTAAATCATTGTTTGAAAATATTTTAATTAATAGATGCATGTTCAATCGAATAAGAAGCTTACATGGTGATACCCATTAAAACTATCACAAGTATACGGCTCAAAATTTCTAATATAAAACATTTAAAAATTTTGGAATATTTCAGATCATAGACCCGTAAATATGGAATCATGCCTAATAAATAATAATGCACAAGTACAGAGATACACCCCCAATTAGACCTATTCACGGGCTGGGTTTTGCTTTTACATTAACAGAAATTGTTTATGCTCAAGCCCAGCCCTGCCCGACCAATGGGCCTAGGTCTTGAGCCCGAGCCTGGCCTGACTTAAAGCCTGAAGCCCAGGCCTGAGCTTGAGCCCGACTAGAAATTTGGAAAAAAAAGATTTTTCCTTTTTAATTCAATTAAAAGATGTTTTATTTATACTAAAAGACCTCAAAACTCAAAAAAATAAAGAAAAGTCACATTATTACTTGAAAAAAGAGAAGAAAAATATTATATATATATGTTTTTTTATTATATAAAATATATTTTTATTAATATAGTACATTATCAAGTTGGGCTCGGGCTCGGGTCGAGATTTTGTGAGAAATCCCGAGCCTGAACCTAAAATCTTTTCCAAGCCCGACTTAGATTAGGTTGGACCGGCCTGGCCTGTTGGGCTACCCAGCCTATGAACAGGTCTATCCCTAGCCATTCAATTAGGAGCAAATCTAAGCTCTTTGGCAATGTTCGACACCATTTATATCTCGTGGACGGGACCATCCACAAAATTTGGTCCCGTTCGGCTTGGTGTGGACAGGACCGGTCCACGCCACACCCCAATATAGCGTGGATAGGTCTCATCCACAACCCAATATATCGCCAATGGGAAAAACTCGTGGATACGTCCTATCCACGATTTATTTTTGATCTCATGCTTCAAGGAGCAAGGGTCAGAGGCTATGTGATCTAAGACAAACTATAGATACATAGAGGTAAACCTTCAGTTTTATCTCTGAAATTCCTATAGTTGCATTTCAGTTGTATGACCTAAAATATTAATTATTTTACTTAATTTTTTTTATTTTATAAAATTTTGATGTTTTTATCAATAAAATAATATTTAAAATATTTATTATTTTTTTAATTATTTGACTATTGTTTTATAAAAAAATTAATATTTATTGCAAGGTTTTTAAAACCGACTCGGAGAACGAACCGGTCAGGAGTCCAGTTCCTGGGTTAAACGGTCCGATAGTGCGAACCAAACAGTCGACCCGTTCTGACCAAAAAATAAAAAATAATAAAATGGTCAAAACCGTTGAATGGTTTGAACGGTTCAACCGCCTAGGTCAATGGTTTGCTGACCAAATCAACATTTTTTTTTTGCAAATTTCCTGTTTTGGAGAAAAACGGAACCAGTCCCCTGACTGGTTCTCAGTTTTTTCGGTTTTGAAAACCATGATTTATTAGTTAATATTAATTCATTGATGCATTTTTTAAAAATATTTATCATATAAAATGCAAAAATTATATATGATTAACTATATATATCATTCATAAAATGTATATGAGATACATTGAATAAAAAAAAGTATGGTGTGGATTGGTCCACACCACGCTACGGAACGCTACTGTCAATGTGGACTGGTTAGCCCACACAATTTGTCCACAATTCAGAACAACTACGAAATATGGTGTGGTGTAGACTAGTCTCTGCCACAATGTGTGGTGTGGACCCGTCCACACCCATCAATTTCTTTCATCCACACTACAATACACCCCCTTTGCCTCCCCCACATGATAATATTGAAACGGATTATGCATATGGTATGCGGATACACAATGTCGAAACAATTTGAAAGGACTTTTTATTGAGATAGGATTTGCTAATTTAAAAGATATTTCCTGCGATGCACCGGGAGGCACACTAGGGAGCAAATCGGAATTTCTGTTTTATACTTGTTAGCAGCAACAACAAATTCAAATCAAAGCTTTAGATAATGTATTAAAGACGAGTCCAGCCACATAGCACACTGCTGGCCACATTCACCCAGCCACATATATGAAACATCGGTTTGTTGTGGTTACAGATATTCTCAATGCATGGCTAGATGAACGTGGCCAGCGGTGTGTTGTGATCAGCAGGTCCAAACTCATTAACCACAGAAAAAATCTATGATGCTGAAAGATACGATAGAAAAAAGGTTTTGATCATTCACAACTCCAGAAAATTTTGATAAAAATCCACCTAATTGATTTTTATCACCCTACCAACAACCTCCAACACCGCATCTCATGCATAGGTCCACCCTAAAGGTGAGGCCCTAATTTTATAGTGGGATGTGTGGTGCTGGATGAAGTTGGTAGGGTATTGGAACTTGTTTGGTTGGCAGGTGAAGAAATTGTGCGGATTGATTGGTTGTAAGTTTTCAAGTGTCGTTTCTTAATTCCTGCCAAAAGGAGAACCCATTAAAAGGAGAACCATTAAAAGACGTATAATAGAAAGAAAAAATGATGTATTAATGACGTCATGTACTAAAAGTCTAAAATCGAGTAGAGAATTACTACCCTCCCTTTTGCAAACAGATGGCGCCTCACACTGACCTCACATGTACATCGCACTGTGCATCGGCAACATCTCTCTTACTTATGTGTTGTGCATGTGAGGTCGTTGTGAGGAGCAGATGCCACCTCTTCCCAACTTGGCAGTCAGCTTCACGTCGGAAACATCAGGGGACGTACGTTGTTGGCACCGTGTATTTGTAGCTGATCTGAACTCGCTAGACTTCCGTAAATATAGTCGGATAATCAGTCTTGTAATTTTCCCTTTTTTCAGATTTTGTCTTTCTTTTATCTTTGGGAAGACTGTAATCAGTTTCTTACTAAACACCTGGGAGTGATTTTATCAGAATGGCGTTCGACCTGATCACGCTTCCGTTGGTAGAATTCTCGGAAGGACGCATTGAAGGAGGTAATATATACAATTATACACACAACAACCTCGCAAATCAATAATGGTACAGAAGCATGCAGTAAGAACAACGGGGACGATAGAGAAATATCAAAAAGGAAAGAAAAGAGACCTCACCGAGAAGCACTGCTCCTTCATCGAGTTTCTGAACCATTCTTTTCGGCAACAAGAAGCAGCTAGCACTCCTGCTGGCTCTGGACCTTCACTCTTTCCTTCGCCATGCCATCTTCAGATGAAAGAACTATATATATATGGACTACATTTTCCAGCATGTAAGGGTTCGTTCGATAAATATTAAGCAAACTGAATACTGGTTCTTCTTAATTAACACACCTCGTGCTAGCTTGTTCAGTAAAGCCCGCAACCAGGATACAACGCAGATTAGATTCAACTCCAAGTGCAGTGACGGTAATGAACCTGAGAGTTCTGTACGTACATATACTGTAGTTGGCAAGGAGAAAGGTGATAATCACATTCTCAGCGGCAAAACAGGCAACTTGAAAACTGTTCAATTTAGCTGCTACACACGAATTGCTATACATACAGTTAGTATGTGACAAGTGTCTGTTTTATTGTAGGTTTAGACACCTGTCACGCACCGATTGCAGATTATATAACGGTTAACTGTACAGCAATCGTGTACAACAGATCCGGCGGAGTTACAAATTCATTTTGGCACCTTCATGGAAGAAAGAGGAGGCGGGGACCGCCATTAGTTGCCGGGGACCATCGCAGCTGGTGGAAATTAGCAGTCCAGCACGGCCATGTTATCACGTGAAATTATGAAGATGCTCTGAGACGTCAACTTGGTTTTTCCATGCATGCATCCATAGGAGGAGGAAATTCTTTTTTTTGAAGGGATAACCCTTTTATCCAAGGAATATGACTTATCCACCATGTAACATGGCCAATGTTAATTTCTTTCTTTTTTCAGTTCTTTTAAAATGAGTTCTCAGAAAGTATCCAAACACAACATGTCAACTTGCTTCTTACGATTTAATATATATATATATATATATATATATATATATATTTAGGTTTCATATAGGCATAAAATACAAAGGAATCGCATTGCCAGCTGGCTGAATCAATCCGCATTCGTGAAATTGGTTCTGGCTTCCGGCTCATACAACGATTATGTTATGTTCATAATCAACACTGTATTGATTATAGAGGTAATTACTTAAAAATATATCCTCTGATTTGCAAAATTATTATACACGGATCCGTGCCATATATGAAATTTATCAAGAGAAAGTTAAATAATAGAAATACATAAGAGTATATAATTGTTTTATATTTTTATTTTTAATTAGTTAATAATTATTTATATTTTAGATTCAACTATGATATAGGAAAGATATGATACTTGAAAATTTTTTATCAATCAATTGGTATTGATTCCCAGAAGGGAGAAAAATATGATACTTGAAAATTTTTGACCAATCAATTAGTATCATAAACGTGGTAGCCAATTAGGTATTATTTATCAAAAGTTCATGGGTGGATTTTGATTGATCAAAACTCTTTCAATACCATATCTCTCCCGCATCATAGATTTTCCTTTATATTTTATATATTACTATTAATAATTATTTTGCAATACAAAAATAACAATAATTAATTTCAACTAGGGTTGTTCATCAAACTAATGAAACCAACCAATCCAACCATTTGGTTTTCTAGTATTTCTGTTCGACTTTGGTTCAACAATTTTCCAACCTGACCAGATTGGATCAATTTCGCTTTGGCCATTTGTAAATCGAGCAACCTGGCCATAGATATAAATTTATATTTTATATTTTAATATAATTTTTTTAATACGGGAAAATGGGAAAGTTCTCATATTTCTTAGTCTAATATATTTTATATCAAAATTTATTTTTTAATAATGATACTGTAATTTTTTAAATTTAAATCTTTTGAACCAGCTAACCAAAACAAAAATCAACCCAAACTAATACAAACCCGAGTTAGGTGGTTTTCAACATTAAACCACATCTCACTTAAAAAATTGAGGTTGGAGTGATTTGAACATAGAACTAAAGTCATGCAACAACCAAAAACATATGTTTCTATAACCACCAAGCCACATACCACTTTTTTATAATAAAATAAATACCTTAACCTTTATCAACATTAAAGTCTAGTAGTCTACATACAACCCAAATAAATAATATATACTAATATTCAACAATTCCAACTATAAATTAAAAATAATAATTTTTAAAATCAATATTTTATGAGCAATGGAATAAATAATTTATCAAAACTACATATATACCAAAAATAGATTTTTAATTTCAAAAAATTTATATAAATAAAATTATTATTAATAGAATAATTATTTTAATACTTGAAAATTATAAATTTTCACATTATATGTATATTCAATTTTTTATAAATTATTAATTAAAATTTTAATTTGCATTAAATAATAATGTCTTTACTATTTAAAAATAAAAATATTATTTACAAAATATTTTAGAATAAAACATAAATTGAATTGGCCAATTCCACTAATCTACATTTATATAAAAAAAATAATTTTTTATTTTAGAAAATTTATAAAATAAAAATATTAATAATGGAATAATTATTTTAGTAATTAAAATTTAAGAATTTTCATATGATATATATCTTTAAAATTTAATAGATTTTATATATTTTAAGTTAAGATTATTTATTTTTTATAAATTATTAATTAATACTTTACTTTACATTTTATGATAACATATTTATTTTTTTTAAAATGAAAATAACATATTTACTTTTTATAATAACATATTTATTTGAGAATTGATTTTTTTGTTGATTATTTGTTAATTTTAAAAAATAAAAATAATAAAATAGAAATATTGATATAGTAACTCAAATGGAATAATTGCATATGTTTTGTGCATTGGTCTTTAATAGAAAAAAAAATAATAATGACTTTGTGCATATATTAATTTCTAAGAATCTATATTCTTGATTGATGCACTATCAATAAAATTGCATAATATCTATGCATCTTGCTATATTAGTTATAATATATTTCTCCATATATACCATTAAAATATAAAGCTCCTATGTATTTATATACTATTTAAAATTATTTTGACATTAAACTTAATATTGTTAATATATTTATGGAATTTATGTGCATTTCCCTTGTGTATCCAAACATTTTCATATTTTTCGTTTGTATCCATGCATTTCCTAAGCGCATCTGTATGCGTATCTGTATCTATATCTATATCCAAGTTGTCCAATACGATACTCGATACCAATACTTTGATCCTTGATTTTCACTAATGATCAATTTGTTTTAGGTCAAGGTGCAAATAGATCGGATCACGATATGATCTAATCTGAAGTCTGATCCTATATTCTCAGAATCAGATAGCCCCATTTTGAATTGGATTGGATGATAAAATTCAATCAGAAATCAAATTGAATTCGGATCACCCCCCATTTTGAATTGGATTGGATGATAAAATTCAATCAAAAATCAAATTGAATTTGGATCACCCCTCATTTTGAATTGGATTGAAATGTTACTTGTAGCTTTTGTTTTTATTTATCTAAATTGTTATATTTTATTTTTCTTCTAACAATTTATTATTATTTTAAATCAAATCAGATTGGATCGGACCAGATCCAAAAATCCGACTTTCTCATCAGATTCAAATTCATATCCATGTTTATCAGATTCGATCGAATTTGGATATACCTTAATTCAAACCAGATCTAATCCCTTCACTTCCCTAGTTTAGGGTGACCAACTCCCTAACATGACTAGGTCAATTTGGTTGGCCAAATAGCCTTACAACCAAACCGAACCAACCCGTGATCTCTCATAATTTTAGCTAAATTAATTGCCTAATCTCTAATAAATAATAATAGTTTAATCTCCAACAATTATTGAAAATTTATAGTAAAAATACATAATTGTTGAAAATATATTAATAATTAAAATACAATAAATATTAATATTAATACAATAAATACTAAAACATATATTAAATTAGTCAATAAATAATTTAATCTCAAATAATAGTTTAATCTCTAATAAATATTAATCAATAAATCATAACAAAAATACAATAAATTAAACTTAAAAATTTAAATAACAGTAGTTTAATCACCAATAATTATTGAAAATTTTCTGTTGACAAACAAAAAAATAGATTTTTACATAATTATTGAAAATATATTTGTCACAAACAACAATAAATAATTACTTGAAATACAATAAATGTTAATTTTAGTACATATAAGTTTATATTAAATATAGATTAAGATTCTTAAATTATTATTAATAAACACTAATTTTTTCTAAGTTATTTTATATAATTATTAATTGATATAAGTTAAATTAGTTATTTACAATATTATTTAGTTTTTTTAAATAATATCATTGTTTGAATTTTATAATATTAATTATTTATTGAATTTAATAATCCATAAAATTATAATTAATAATTTTATTACATAATTTTGTTTTTAATTTTGTAAAATATTATATTATTATTAATTTGAATACTGTTTTATAATTGCTTTTCTAGTTTTTAGAATTTTTTAAATTTATTACATAATTTTGTTATTTTAACTTTTTAAAATGAAGTTATGTTAGACATTTCCTTAGTTAAAATATCTACTTATTTAAATATTTAGATAAAATTTAACATGCTTAAAATGTATCATTATTTGATTTTTATTTATTTTAAAATTATTATATAATATGAAGTATTTTGTTATATAATTATTTAGATATTTTTTAATATTTTTTATTTAAGATATTTAGTTATTAAAATATTTAAATAGTATTTTATTTTTAATGTTAAATTTTTTTTATTTGAATAACATGTAAATTGAATAATCCAAAAAACTACAATTTATATTTTTAGTACATAATTATGTTGAATTTTGTAAAAATATAAAATTATTAATAATATGAATTTTATTAAATCTATTATAATTATTTTTTGTGTTCTGAATCATCATTCTGTTTTCATTTATATATATATATATATATATATATATATATATATATATATAGATAAAAAGTGGGGGAGAGATTTTTGGCTATTGGGAACATGTAGGGTAGAGAGAGAGATATTTTAGGTAATTTTCTTGGGAAGGGTGCATTTCATTGGTTGTTTAAGAAATGACATGGAATAAAAAATAAAAAATGAGAAAAATTTTGTGTTTTAGTATATACTAGCAGGGACCTGTGCGATGCATGGGCTTTGTTAAAACAGTTTCAAGTAATAGAGTTAGGGGTGCAAGTTGGTTGTACCCAATTCAATCAAAGCTTTTGCATATGTTGGGTTTGAGTCTAAACTAAACTTAGATTGGGCTTAGGTTGAGACTTCAGGTATTGATCCGATGTAATTTAAGTTTGCAA